AATTACTAACTTTAAAGGGGATTGAATCATAAAAATTTAGACTAATAGTAAGATAATTAAAAGTAAAAGTTAAAACAATGAAAATATAACTTAACCAAATTTAAATAAATATAAAAATTTTTAAGAATGAACCATTCGTTAAAAATTCATTTAGTTTAATCTATGGTTACTTTTAAAAAAGTATTAATAATATAAACGGATGGAGAATTATTTATGGAATGTTAGGTTGATTAAGGTGACATGCTAATTTATCTAAATAATCAAGGAGGGAAAGTTTAATTAAGCGAGCTACTAAGTTTTTTTTTTTTTTTAATTCCAAAAGGACGATGAAGGGATAAATAAAAAGTTAATATAAATTAGTACTTTGTTGAAATTAATGAATAAAATTATTTTTAATAAAAATGAATAATAAGAAAGAATATGTACTTTAAAAAAACTTTTATATAAAAATATATTAATATTTTAATGGCCATAAATAATATATATATGAGATTCATTCTTTGTTTGGAAAAGTACACAAAAATCTTCTATCTAAATTCTTTTTCTATTTTCTTTGTATTATTTATTAAATATTAAGAGTTCACTGAGTCTTGTGTTTGATGAGAAACAATTATTTGTGAAACCTCAACACTGTGCAGAGAACAAAATTATCTTAAGGAAATAATGTTACTATTGGGTTCAGAAGGTTTATTTTCATGTTTCCTTAATTTCTCTACATTCTACTCTACCATATTTTGTAAATAGTTTTTTTCTTATTAATTTATAATTTTAAACCAATGTTAGTCAGTTTTTGAATATAATATATATATATTAAAAAGTAATTAGTACTTTATCTATTCACTCTCGTGATTAAAAAAAAATTGATTTAAAATTTTTCTACCTTTTTGTTGTTTTGTATTGAATTCTCTTTTCCATTGAAATGGGAGGATCTCTATGATGCTTTTGGTTGCCATCCATTTTGCAATAGTTGTTTCACCTAACGTCTTAATGGTGAAAGCTTTAGCTCGTATGAAAAAGAAAAGGAAAAAAGGAACTAATATTTTCTGAAATCTATTCTTATAATTTATTCTTACCTTTAATATTTAGACATGTAATTAATTAATATAGCTTACAATAATGAATAGTAGTGGTATAAAAATTTTGCTATAATATCTGTCTTTTTTTTTTCGCACTATAATATTACCCTACTTGAAATTTTTGTGAATACAACGTAAGGAAAATTAAGATAGAATGCAACAATTCGGTGAATTTTATTGATATAATAATATCTTTAATAAATGAGAAACCTAATAACTTATTTCTAGTAATAAAATATAGATCAAAAAGTTATTTATGCCTAAAAATTTCAAATAACACAAACTTAAATTAAAAAACCTCAAACTTTTTTTTAGTACAATCTGTGAGGATGAATGATCGAACTCACGACACCTTGGTTGGAGGTATTTGGCAAAAAAAGAAAAAAAAAAACCAAACTAATAGCATTTAATTTTCACATTAATATTGGAGTTGGACAGCCATTGTGGGATGCCACGTGACTACTCTCTTTAGATTCACAAAATCTTGTTTATGTGCTGTTATAATTAAAGAATTTTACTATTTAAAGAATTTATGAGTACCAACAAATGTAGCTGTTAATTATATGTTAAAATACAATTTTTTAATAAAAAAATATGTGAGGGAGGAGATTTGAAGTCTTAATATTTTAGTTTGATTTCCTTAAAAAAAATTATTTTAATTAGATTCCATGAACATAACTCAATATGTTTCTTCCCTCGAGTTCAAATGTTCGATCCTCATATCCCTAAATTGTTGTACTAGAAAAAAAATCTTTTGGTTAGATTTAGGTATTTTTTAACTCAACTTAAGTTGTAAAACATCTGAAATTTTATATTTAAACAACTTATTTGAATTCTTGTAGCAATTTGAATTTAAATGTAATTATATATTCATATGACAATATTTTTTAGAAATAAATTTCTAAAGGTTTTTTTTTTGTTTCACCAAATTTTGCTTTGAGCGGTCGTCGTCTCAAATTTCAAAAACTCAATTTTGACATTAATTTTTTATTTTCTGGAACTGAATTTCAGTTTAACGTCGATTATGACAAAATAAAAAAATAAAATGAACCAACCCACTTACACCTTGTCTTGAAAGGCACATTTCTATTCGGTTGAATGGAAAATATCGAGGTTTCGATTTACGAACATGTCGATGTGATATTTGGAGAAAAATCACGAAATGTTGGATATTGATGTAAATTTTTTGAATTAGTAAATAAAACTTTAATTGTAGCTTAATTAGTCTATTATTGATCATTTTTTACCATCATATCAAAATATATAAGTAATGTATTTATGGAAATGTCGTTGTGATGAAAACGTCGAACAAAATCATGTATACATACATAGAAATTATTTGAATGAGTAAATTAAAGTTTAACGTTGCTTTATTATGTTTTATTGATAATTTCTAATACAATATAGTCTTTATTTACCTAATTGAACAAGATATGTTAAATATCAAGTATAAAAGATGAGATAATCGCAGAAAACTTGAAAAATAAAATTTAATCATATTAGTGGTGATGATACTTATGGAAATATATTTAAAAATTGTGTAGATTTAAAATTGAAAAGAAAAGTAGGTAAAAAATGAAAATAAAAATAATTTGAGTGAATGTGTTTTTGAAAGTTGTGTAAATTTGATTGGAAAGTTTGATTCATGACAATTGGGTAGATTTTAAATTAACAAAAAAAAATAGATTTAATAATAGAAATTAAAAAGCAGTAAAAAAAAGAAAAAAAAAGCGAAAAAGAATAAAAAAATTGACGCCTCAGACATTTGATTTCATGGTCACAACTTCTTTGTTATATTTTCACCTCAGTAAAAATATATTTAAACTTTTAGACAAATTTTATACAAGTTTTGAAAATTACTAAATTTGATTTAGATTTTGAAAACAGTATCCAAAAACATATGCAAAACAAAGAAATATATGAGTGATAACAAAATGAAACCTATTTTATATTTTATGAATTAAACAAAAAATTCAAATGTATTAATAAAAAGTGAAAAGTTATTAAAAGAAAAATCGAAACCAAATTTTATTAAACCAAATGTATTAATAGTGAGTAAATTTCATTTTCTACAAAATTTTAAAATAATCGAAACCAAATCACTATCAAATAAAACTTAACTTACCACATAACTTAATCTATGGTTTAGCATGCTTTTAAAGTCCACGGTAGTTAAAATTTTAAAGAGTAACAAAAATTACCACTGAATAATTTTTTTTAATTCTCATAATAAAAAATAGAAAAAAAAATCAAAGTGCCTTTAGAAAAATCATTTAAGTAACTTTTGAGAAAGAATTTTACTAAAAACGTTCTTTCAAAAAGCATTCACACATCAATTACATCAATTATTCCAAAGGTAGGAAGGAGATTTAAATTTTCAACTTATAAAAAATTAAAATTTTCTTTTTTCCTTTCAATGTCATGAGATAGCTTTAAGAGGGTTAATTATTTAAATATTATTTAAGTATTGACCGAATAAGTACTATCTCTAGATTCATCACCATTAAAAAAGTAAGTATATTGTATTTTTTAAAAAAAAAAAAACTATTTTTACGTTTGCCTCTCTTTTCTGTTCAATTTAACAAGGATCAATATTTAGTACTTAAATATTTTCTTAATTATTATTAGTCGAGTAACATTCAAATTTATAATATTTTCATTTTATTCATCATGGATCTGTCTACTTTTCTAATAAAGTGGTTAAAGTAGAAACCATGACACTGAATTGTCTTGGTTGGTAAAAGCAATAAATGAAATTGTCACTATGGACCTATCAACTTCTGATATTTCTTAAATATTTTATCCAACATCATCCATGCCACATAAATTGTCTATTATAAAAATATCGTAAAAGGCAAAATAGTCCACCATACTTTTAAATATTCCTAATTTTTTTCGATTGTTAATCTTTATTGTTGATGTAGAAATTTGGCCTTCTCGAAGAAATCGAATATAGAGAGTAGGGTATTGATCTTATCTGAATCTATGGAGAATCTTGACACCATCATGATATATTCTCTTGAATCTCGCGGATATCTTCTCATTTTGAATTCCTTAAGCCAATGGGGATTTTCTCATCCATAACATTTATCGTTAAAAAGGTTTCAATTAATTAAGTACACATAAAAAATTGTTAAAATATGCTAACAAAAAGTTGTTTACTTGTAATTAAATTATTGGTTTAGGGACGTATCTAAACACTTATGTGTCAATCGACTGCTTTTAGTGAAAGATCGTGTGCGATAGGTATACAATAAATTATGATAACTGTCGTTATTGTTTCGTCCAACCAACCATTTGTTATCTAAATGCAATCATGATTAATTCCATTTTCAATGTGCCCAACTATCAAACTATTCATATGCAAACTTTGACATGTCGTTTTAGTTGGGGTTAATTAGAAGCTATGGATTTTTTTTTTCTTTTTAAATGTACATAACAAAAAGTTTTTATTGTTGTAAAGCAAAACACTAGGGTTAGAAATGGTCCCATATTGAATTTATGACTTTTCAAAGTATAATTTAATATTATTTTAATCCATTAAATTATATTTAAATAGGAGTTTAGTACTTTCTTTTTTCTCCCCTTTATATAATTTTCATGTCATCTAGAAAAATCGTACCACAAAGTTTGCATGCCAAGAGGATCAAAATGGCCGAGGCCTACTCTTCTGCTCTTTTGCTTGTCTTTAATCTTTTTCTTCTCTCTTTTTCGTCCGATGCGACGGTCGTCGCAAACGATCCACAAGTGAAGCACACCAATACTTTCTATTTTGGTTATTGGCATAGTCCTCC